ACAGCACTGGAGGAGTTTGCAGAGGCTGTAAACGGCACTGGAAGAGTTTGCAGAGGCTGTAAACAGCACTGGAGGAGTTTGCAGAGGCTGTAAACAAAACTGGAGGAGTTTGCAGAGGCTATAAACAGTACTGGTGGAGTTTGCAGAGACTCTAAACAGCACTGGAGGAGTTTGCAGAGGCTGTAATTAGCACTGGAGGAGTTTGCCCATCTTCCTCCCATGGAGCAGGTGGAATCAAAGCTGCAGAGCACATTTTAGAAAATGTAGCCAATAAGAAAAATTCAATCTTTATTCCTATATAATGGGTCTATGTTGAAATGACTTAGAGATTATTTATGGATGTACTTTATCAGCACTGTGCAAGGCACAAGACATACAGTGTGTACCTTTAATGTCTCCAAGGATGTTAAAGTTTACTAATGGAGACTGGGAGGAGCAGGAATAATTGCAGTGTGTTCGGTTCACCTTAGAAATCATAGAGTGGTGCAAACAGTTAAGCACTCAATTACTGGTCAAAAGGTTGGTGGCTAAAATATTTCAGAGGCACTTCAGAAGACTGGCAATCTGCTCCTGAGAGGTCACAGCTTTGAAAACCCCAAGGAGCAGTTCTGCTCTGAACACGTGGGATCTCCATGAGTCAGAACTGATTCACTGGCAACTAACTACCACAACAAATGTTCAACATTGAAAAGTTATTTGACCTTTCTAACCTTCCATTTTCCTCTTCTGGAACAGGAAAGTCTCAAAGGTTTCTAGAATAAAATGAGATTATAAATGTAAAGTGCTACCTTAGGGCTCAGAGTAAGTTTAAAAAGTCCTGGAAAGCATGATAATTTCACCTTGGTCTGTCACGGGGTGGGATGAAGGGGAGATTGGGAACTGTCAGGAGAAGCTTCCCAGAAGAGATAGGACTGAGACACAATTCTGAGTGATGTAGAAGAGGAGGCGGAGGTGATGACTGTCTTTTGTTCCTTAGTCTTCCATGTTTAACTGAGCTTTCAACTGCATTGTTAATATGTCAGTACATTGTATATAATGCCCCATGAGCATGAAAAGTAATGCTATACAGTTTAATTTTATACATTAAATATTTTCTTTCTTTCAGGGAATCAAAGATGGTAGCCTTATTGACTCAGTGAAAACAATCTGTGTGGGAGACCATATTGAATCCATAAATGGAGAAAATATCGTTGGATGGCGCCATTATGATGTTGCTAGGAAGCTAAAAGAATTGAAAAAAGAGGAACAGTTTACCTTGAAGTTAATAGAACCTAAGAAAGCATTTGGTGAATGTATTCCTCCCACTCTGTTAAATGTTCCTGTCTGTGGTTTGTCGTTCTGAGGGAAAATATGTGCCACATGCCAGGAGTGTATCTCCTTGTTAAACGTACCAGTTAGAAATGCAGGAAATGTTGGATAGCACTTCTTAGAAGAAAAAAGAACTATTTAAGGAGGAGAAATAGAAAAGAACTTGCCTTGTAGATGACATTTTTTAAAAAGACATTGGTAATATATAGTGTCCAATGACTTTGAATTGTGTATTCTACCGTCTAAGACCAGCACTTTGTGTTTTATCCACTTTACTGACCAGTACAATTGTTGATTGAGCTGTTAACACCACTGTAGCTGTTTTTCATAGACTTTAGCAGCAAAAATTTCAGTTACACATGGTATTGGTATTTATTATAGTTATCGTACCTAATTTAAGGACTTCTTTCTCCAATCTAGTTTCCTATTGTGGTATTTCAAATTCAGCAGTTTAGGATTATCTGAAATTACTTCTACTCTGATGTGACATATATACTTACTTAGATTTAGCCATGGCAGCTGTATCCCAACTGTTGCTCAAACCCCTAGGGCCAACTCCTTCACAGGAAAATGCGCCAGCTTCCCTCTCACTACCCAGCACTATTTTAATGAGCACAAATGATGGCCTCATGTTCATAGTGTTAAAATATCTTCAGCAGGATTGTTCCAGGCCTGCCATTACTCATACACAGCCCCACCCACCTTATGTACTTTTCCATACTTTCAAAAAGAAACATTCCTTATACAGTAAAACCCATGAAAGCTGGAACCTGGGAAAAATAGAAACCTATCAGAAAAAAGGAACTCAAACATTTTCTATTAAAATGAGAGAGAAAAATGGTAAGGAGGGTCAAGGACTGTAGTTTGTAATATGGATTGAAGCTTGACATCAAGATAATGAAGATTCTTTCAATTGGCCAGTTGGCAGCATCATGATAGTTGGAGAAGAGTTGAGACTTTTAACAATTTCATCTTGCTCAGTTCCACAATCAACACTCTTGACACCAGCAGTCAGGAGATGAAAAGACTAATTACATTAGGAAAATCTGCTTTCAGGGATCTCTCTAGGTGCTGAAGAGCAAGGATGTCAGTATAGAGACTAAGGTGCATGTGATTCAGGCCATATTCTTTGCAATTACGTGATATACATCAGAGAACTGGACCATGACTAAGGATGACAGTTATGCCTTTGATTTACGGTGCTAGAGAAGAGTGTTGAACATACCATGAATTGCTAAGATAACTAACAGGTCTGTCCTGGAGATGGTGGAAACAAGCTACTCCTTGGAGGCAAGGATTTTGATATTCCATCTCACATCACATGTATTTGGTATGTAGCCAAGAGGAGCTAGTCTTTGGAGAAGGATAACATACTTAGAAGGGTAGAGGGAGAATGCTGGAGAGGAAAACCCTTAATGAGATGGATTGACACAGTAACTGGGGTAATGAGGGTGTCTTAGAGACAGTGAGATTGGCTCAGGACAGAAGAGCAGAGTTCAGAGTTATTGTCCCTAGAGTCACTATGAGTCGTAGGCAATTTGATAGCACATAACAACAACAATACCCTTTCAAAGATGGAAAGACTTGTGAGACCTGGGAAAGCACATTAAGAACACTGAAGGAAGAACGGAGATAATCACATTTTTCTCTCCTTTAGCAAGTATGTTTGTTTTCTTGGCAGTCCATGGCATGTTCAGTACTCTTCTCTGTCACCACAACTCAGAGGTATTGATTATTTTTCTTTCATCCTAATTTATTGCCCAGCTGGCAGATGCTTAACTAGCAATTGAGAAGACCATGGCCTGGTTCAACTGTACCTTAGTCTCTAGATTGACATCATTGCTCTTTAGCACTCAGAAGAGATCTCTGACAACAGATTTTCCTAATGCATCTTGTCCTTTGATATCCTGACTGCTGGTTCTAGGAGTACTAATTGTGGATCTGAGCAAGATGAAAGTATTATTTCCCCATATCTTTTTGTAAAAGTTGCTAATAAACCTTAACTTGGATATTAGATTGAGAATAGTCTTGGATAATGGAGGCCATTGTTTTAGCCACTACTGCTTCAGGATTGGAGTCATTGGTGGTACAAATGGTTAATATGCTCATCTGCTAATAGAGTGATTGGAGATTTGAATCCATTGAGAGGTATCTCAGAAAAAAGACATCATGATCTATTTCCAAAAATTCAACCATTAAAAACCATATGGAACACAATAATAATCTGACATGTTGTTGTTATGTGCCGTCGAGTCGTTTGCGACTCATAGCGACCCTATGCACAACAGGTCTAAACCCTGCTCTATCCTGCGCCAACCGCACCGCCTCTGACACACCCATCCCGATTACCCCAGTCACCGAATCAATCCATCTCATAGAGGGTCTTCCCCTCCTGCGCTGTCCCTCCACCCTCCCAAGCATGATGTCCCTCTCCAAGGACCCGTCTCTCCTGGCAACATGTCCAAAGTATGTCAGACGAAGCCGCAGAATCCTTGCCTCCAAGGAGCAGCCTGGTTTAATCCTCTCCAAGATGAATCTGTTTGTTTTCCTGGCAGTCCAGGGTACATTCAGTACCCTTCTCCAGCACCACAGCTCAAAAGCATCCACTCTCCTTCTGTCCTCCCTAGTCATTGTCCAACTCTTTGATGCGTAACAAGCGATTGCAAATACCATGACCTGTATCAGGCGCACCTTAGTCTCCAGAGAGACACTGTTGCTCCTGAGTACCTTTGAGAGGTCCCTAACAGCAGACTTTCCCATCGCGATACGCTTTTTGATTTCCTGACTGCTGGTGCCAAGAGTGTTGACTGTGGGGCCGAGCAAACTGAAGCTGTGAACACTCTCAATCTCTTCGTCATCCATCCTGACACTGCCAATTGGTCCAGTGGCGAGAATCTTTGTCTTCTTGACATTGAGCCTCAGTCCATACTGAAGGCTGCAGCCCTTGACCCTTCGCAGCAAGTGCATGAGGTCCTCCTCAGTTTCAGCAAGCAGGGTTGTATCATCTGCATAATGGAGATTGTTAATAGATCTTCCACCAATCCTGATGCCACAATTCTCCTCATAGAGCCCAGCCTCTTGGATCATCTGCTCTGCATATATGTTGAAAAGGTATGGAGACAGGATGCATCCCTGGCGTACACCCTTCCCTATTTTGAACCATGCAGTGTTACCCTGCTCTGTTCTGACTACTGCCTCTTGGTCCAAGTATAGGTTTCGTTTTAGCACAATTAAATGTTCTGGGATTCCCATTCTTCTCAGAGTCAGCCACAGTTTGTTATGATCCACATAGTCAAATGCCTTTGCATAATCAATGAAACACAGATAGACATTCTTCTGGTATTCCCTGCTTTCAGCCAAGATCCATCTAACATCAGCAACAATATCCCTAGTACCACGACCCCTTCTAAACCCAGCCTGGACTTCCGGCAGTTCTCTGCTGGTGTGCTGTTCTAATCGTTTTTGGATGATCTTCAGTAGAATCTTGCTTGCATGTGAAATCAATGACAATGTTCTGTAGTTTCCACACTCAGTTGGGTCACCTTTCTTTGGAATGGGAACAAATAATCTGACATACTTGGGATTATTTTGAGTATGAATTGACTTAATGGAAACTGGTTAATAGTCTTAAATCCATGGTTAGACTTTTCCTCCCTTCAACACTGGAGACATACATGATGTAGTGTGCTGCCTTGTGTGTCTGGATACTGATGAAATTACTTTATGTTGCCTCTTAAGAATTCCAAAGGCTTATCTGAGTGAATACTCAGTGGGTATATATTACTTTAACATCCTAAATTCTGGGTGCTGAAGATCATTAAAAAATGTCTACAGCGATACATAGAGAACTGCCAGATGTTCACTGCTGATATAAGGTGGATCCTGATTGAAAGCAAAGAATACCAGAACAATGTCTGTTGTTTATTGCCTTCTAATCAAGTATAACTCATAGCAACCCTATGAACAAAAGGCCTGAAGACCCTCTACAACTATCAACATTTATCAAAGTTCATATTATTTCCAGAGGCATGTTGTTTAGGAAGTGGATACTACTCCTGCTTCCATACCTGTCATAGTATGTCATTGTTGTTATGTGCTGTTAAGTTGCCTGCAATGTATAACGACCCTCCGTACAGAAGTTCTGAGCCCCTCCCTGTCCTGAGCCAGGCTCACTAATTCCAACACTCTATCACCCCAGTTACCGTATTAATCCATGCCATCATAGAACAATGTCTATTTGTACTTTATTGACTAATTTAACTATGTGGTTCAGAACAAATTATAACTAGCACTGAGAAGAATAGGAATCCAATTATGCTCATGAGAAACCTATACATAGACCAGGAGGCCATTGTGAAGATAGAGCAAGAGAGCACTACATGGTTTGAAATGAAGAAAGGTATGCATCAGAGTTATATTCTTTCTCCAAACCTATTTAATCTGTATGCTGAGAAGATTATTTGAGGAGCTGGACTATGAAGAAGAATTGGAGAAAGACTCATTAATAACCTTCATTATGCACATGACACAACCTTGTTTGCTGAAAGTGTGGACAACTTGAAGCACTTGCTGCAGAAGGTTAAAACTGCAGCCTTCAATATAGATCACATCTCAAAATCAAGAAAACAAAAATCTTTGCCACTGGACCAATACGTAACATCATGATGGAGAAAACGTTGAAACTATGAACAACTTTATATTGCTTGGATCCACGATCAATACACTTAGTACCAGCAGTCAGGAGATCAGGAAATGTATGTCACTGGGAAAGTCTCTAGTGAGAAACTGAACAAATTCTTAAAGAACAGTGATGTCTGTTTGAGGACTAAGATGTGCCTGATTCAAGTCATGTTCTTTTTAGTCATTTGCTATACATACTAGAGCTGGACAATAAATAAGGATAACAGAAGAATTGATGCCTTTGAACTATGGTTCTGGAGAAGAGTACTGAAAATCCATCCCAAAATAACAGATATAT